AGCAAATTTTGACATTAATGAATAATTTCATTTTTACTTTACTATAATCATTACTTTTCATCTGCCAGGAAATAAATGTAAATTTTGTTAACAAAAAAAAAAAACTTTATGAATATTTTATGATTATTGTAATTATTATTAATAAATGATAACATTTTTTTTCCCCTCCCAATTTACTTTCTTTTCTATTATGAAATCATTTTTGATAAATGAAATTAAATGTTATAAAATTTAATAAGAAAGGAAAAAAAAAGAGAAATGAAAAGGAAACATATAAACATGGATATGAAAACTTAATCTATAATGAGTATTAAGGGATCTGGAATTAAACCTATAATGAGTGTCAAGGGACCTGGAATTGAACCTATAATGAGTGTTGAAGGATCTGGAATTGAACCTATAATGAGTGTTGAGGGAACTAAAATTGAACCTGTAATAAATGTTGAGGGATCTTAAAATGAACCTGTAATAAGTGTTGAGGGATCTTAAATTGAACCTATAATGGGCATAATATTTTGCTCCATTTTTCTATCAAATTATACTAAATACAACTTGTTTACTATAATATCTTTTTAAATTTTAAAATTGCATCATTTCATTAAAATGATGCAAATTTATAATTTATTAAACATCCTTGGATTTGTCGTAATTTTCAAATTACCATTTCTATTTTATGCCTTTTTCATCTTTCTTCCTCCCTTTTTTCCCTTTTACCTTCCTTTTACTCTCCATTTTCCTCTCTCCCTTTCCCTTTCCCTCTCTCTTTGATTTTCCAAATGATTGAACTAACAAAGTATTCATTCATTGCCTTTTTTTTTTCTCCTTTTTATGAAATTATTATTATTTTTTAATATATCTTGAATTTTTAAAAACAGAAATTTTTTTCTTTTCAGATGACATTTCAATATATTTTCCAATTTTCGTTTATTTGAAAAATTATCCAATTTTGTCAACTAAACAAATCTTATAAAAAAATATGAGGCCATATTTTCGAAAAGATATGCATATTTTAGAAAATTGAAGAAATTTTGAAGCAATAAGATTTTCAATATTTTTTATTCGGTGACATCATATCGCATTTGTTAGCATCATATTTAAATTTAATAAATTTAATTATCTTACCTTCGTATATGCTTTCGTAAGTAAGGATAAAATTTATTTCTTTTCATAGCTTCATACTACAATTTATTTTCATCCATCAGCAAAACTTTTACAGTCCATGTGATTTATGCTATTTTAATTTATGCGATAATTAGTTATTATGCTATTTGACATTTGTCACGCATATATGACAACGATCTAAAATTACCAAATGATATATGTGATAATTATATTTATCACGATGTATCACAACCTGAAAATGACATAATCAAAAGTATTTATATAATTAGTCATGTCATAGATTTAATTATATCTACACCTTTTGTGTAGTATACATACCTTTATATTAATAATATATATATATGTGACACAGATATATAGTTATAATTTTATGCAATATTCTTAGAAAAATTTTCGTTTTTTTTTTTAAATTTATTTGATCAAGTTTTCAATAACTTTTTGCATTCATTTACTGTAAGTGATAAAATTGGGCAATTATTTAGCTTTTGAAATAATAATAATAAAATTTAATTTATTCATTAAATAACATCAATATGAAACAATTTTTTTTTCATTGTAGTAAATTTTTGTTGAAATAATCTGTTGTCGTCATTTTTTTCTTTTTTTTTTGTTTTTTCCATCAATATATTTGCTAAATATAATAAATAAATCTATGAGGAATTAATTGAAATTAATTTCAAAAAAAAAATACAAATTCAATAATTATATAATATTCGTATAAATCGTCAATTTTATTATTAACCTTTTTCCTCTTCCCGATTTATATAAATTAAATAAGAATTAAAAGAAAAAAAACATATATAATAAAATATTCTATAAAAAATAGATTTTTATATTGAAGAAATTAAATATTAATTTTTTATTTTATGGTTTTATTTCAAA